AAGTCCATGGCTTGGCATCAGTCTTTATCTTCGATCGTCAAATCCCAACTTGACTTCCAAAATCGCCGCTCGATCCCTTCCACCATAGTGTTTAACCTCCCAAGTCTGACGATCATGTTGTTTCCGTGGATGCTCAAGGCCTGAGACGCCAACTTTATCAAGGTTGATCAAAGCCCAAATCGAGTTTGATCTCATCCAGGTAAGTTTTGCTCTTGTTTTCCCCCTTAATCTATTTCAATTTATTGCATTTTATTGATTTCTTACCCAGCTTCCATCGTAAGGTTGGTTTTGATGTTCTCTGGTTTTATGTTATGTTATGTTGTTTTAACTTCAGTATAATGTTGATTTGTTCAACTCATCTTTTCTTTTGATACCTCTAAACAATGCTCGTGTATCTCCCTTGATTATCTACTTTTTCCTATTTGGGGAATGCATTTCACTATTTATTGTCTACCATATTTCCAAAATTTTTTATTTGCTGCATATCAATAAAACTATTGGTTTGCCTATTCTGTTATCAAAAGCCTTAGTTAAGACGTCACTTTTGTCTTATATTTCCAATGCATTGGAAATTTACATTTACCTGCTGATTTCAAATTCTGCCAATTTTATTTTCCCAATTCTTCATCATAATCTATCTAATAAATAGTGGTCAAGATATTGTATTTTCAAAATGATTATTCTTGAGAATAAGCTACGAGTTTTAACAAATTCTTTTGCAGTTGTTTATCTTTTCGAATCTCTTACATCTTTATCGTCCTTTCTCACTTGAAATTGGATATGTTAATTCAAATGGTTTAGGTTTGTTTTCATTGAAAAGATTGAAGATGTAATTCTCTATGCAGAGTTGTTAGCACCAACTGCCCTCGAATTTGAAGAAGCTAGACGAATCAAATAAGAGGAAATGATCTGTGTCTATAATTTATGGGATGATCCTGCTAAATCCAATGAAATTCATATCAAGTTAGTTGGTAGTGCCAAAGTGGTTGATGCTCTCAAAGACCTAAAATACAAATCCCCAAAGATTAACCCTTGAAATATGCATTAGCTCAGGCTTTAACTTTCTGCTTATACAATTATTATCTCATGCGCAAGACAAATTAGTTAATTATAACTGTTTTTGAATGATTTTCACACTATTCTAACAGTTGATATATGGGATGGACTTTTTTTAAAAAAATTTAATTGTAAGATTCGGTATGTAATAAGGTTCCTTCTCCATTTTTTGTAACGATTACTCTAAAAGAATGCAAATTTGTGTAGACATGCAAGAAGTTAACAAATCAAACTGGTTGGTGGAGAGCTCTCAGTTATAATTGTTATTGATATAAAGCTAT